TTCCCCTGCTTTCTTTTTGTTTACAACTTTTATCACCATCTAACATACTCTTTTCTTTGAGCCTATACAGTGCCTATCTTTCTTCCATTAGGAAGAAAGTTCCACAAGGGCATCCTCAGCACCTATGACATACCTGGCACATAGACAGTCAACTGATCTCAACTGACTCAAATATTTATTGAATGAATGACGTTGTCATTTTTTGTGATGGGAGTGGAGTTACTGATGTGATGTATTATAGGACTATCCTATATAATAAAAGCCTATTATGCTAAGTGTCTGGTCATCCGTTCAACCAATCAAAGTGTAATATGCTAATGATATGTTAAGGTTGCTCAACTGCTCGCTATGAGGTGCACTGACCAGCAGGGGGCAGATGCTCTGACCAGTCGGTTAGCTTGCTGCTGGGGTCTGGCCGATCAGGACTGAGCAAGACAGGCCAGACAAGCCCTGGAGCCCTCCCGGGGTCCCTACCCAGCTGGTCAACCTCTCACATCCCTCCCTGGCCCCAATTGTGCAACGGTGGGGTCCCTCGGCCTGGCCTGTGCCTTCTCGCAATCCGGGCTGAGGGACCCGTCCCCTCTGAGTGCATGAATTTTGTGCACCAGGCCTCTAGTATTTTAAAATATTAAACCACTTTTGTGCTTCTAAGATAAACTCTTTTTCATCATACTGAAAGACTCTTTAAAAGTAGTTTTGCAATTACATTTGCTTGGTTTTTTAAAATCTTTGTGCTTAAGTGAAATTTGTATTATAGTTTCTTATTTCATTCTTTTTTTTTTTGAAGGTTTGATATCAAAGTCATCTTAGCTTCACAAAATGAAGTGGACAGCTTTCCATTTTCCCCACTATTTCTAAAACAGAGCATAGTGCATGTATCATGCCAACTTTCTATTTGTTGAAAGTATGAAAGGACATGCTAGTAAAACTGTTTGGCCCTGAGGAATTTTTGATAGGTAATTTTTAAAAATTACATTTTCCAGTTTATTTTATGGTTAGTAATATATTCAGGTTTTAAGATATTTCAAGATTTATGTTTCCAGAAAAGATTACTTTATAGAAATATTCTAATATAAAATCAAAAGATAGTTTTTGTTATTGTCTTATATTTTATATATCTCTCTATGTGGTATTATATTATTTTCATTAGCAGTTTTCTTTATTTTTATTTCTTCTTTGTCTCTGTGAGATCTTTCAGAGGCTTCTCTATCTTATTTTTAAATTAAAATTGTTAAATTAAAATTCTTTAACTTCTAACCTATTAACCTAACAATAGCAATAATCTACTTAAAATTCAAATATAGCCACAACCATATTTCAAAATAGGGAGCATATATGCTGTTCTCCACAATCCCCAGGAATGTATAAAGTATTGTTCATTTACTTAAACAAGGTCAACTGCAGCTCTTCTTGTCCTTCTTATCTCAAGTCTAAACCATACATGTTCATGTGTATTTTCTTGTAGGTGTGTGAATCCACTTGCCATTTTTATTTTTTCCTCATCTGGGTTTCTGGCTGTGAAATTGTATTGGAATTTTGTTCTCCTTTGTCTCCAGATTTCCTAAGTTTTTTTCTAATCCTTTATTCCCCACTCCTTCCCTTCTGCTCCCAAATTTCCTTTCCAGGACTTCCATCCAGACCCATCTATTTCTTCTCCTTTTCCTTCAGGTCAACTAATGCTATATTTTATCACCTAATTGTAAGTATCAATATCTTGACTGGCAGAGTTTACCTTATTAGGAGTTGATTCTGAATCTTAGGCTTCTGGGGACCCACCGTACTGTCTTTGAAATGTGTGTGTGTGCTTGCTTCTGGGAAAGCATGAGAGTGCATTTGAAATGAATGTGATCTTGTGTGCCTACTTAGTTCACAGCCCATGCTAAAGACTAAGTGAGGATACACTGTTCTGTTTCTTCTAGGCCAGTGATGGCGAACCTTTTGAGCTCGGCGTGTCAGCATTTTGAAAAACCCTAACTTAACTCTGGTGCCGTGTCACATATAGAAATTTTTTGATATTTGCAACCATAGTAAAACAAAGACTAATATTTTTTATATTGATTTTATATACTTAAATGCCAGTTAACAAAGAAAAATCAACCAAAAAAATGAGTTCGCGTGTCACCTCTGACACGCGTGTCATAGGTTCGCCATCACTGTCCTAGGTGATAGCAGTAGCCCTTTGGGTGTCCTCACTGCGAGTCTTCTGCCTTCCAACTCCCGCACCCATCTCACCCATCACCACTTCCCCACCCTCTGGTTGGAGGGACCCCTCTTAAGCTCTAAAATATCTGTAGTATCATTTAAGGTCACCGACGGTCAAGCCCTCATTTTCCTGTTGGAACTTGCTTTCTGCTTCCCCTCTGAATGTGTAATACCTTAAGGAAAATGGATTTTACGCTATTTCCTTTAGCTGGAGTTTCTCTCTTTCCTCAGAGCTCCTATAATCACTTTATTTCTTACTTCTATTGTTGAACTTACCACAGTCTACCAGGTATCTGCGTTAGGCCTTTTTTTTAAAAATATATTTTATTGATTTTTTACAGAGAGGAAGGGAGAGGGATAGAGAGTTAGAAATATCGATGAGAGAAACATCGATCAGCTGCCTCCTGCACACCCCCAACTGGGGATGTGCCCGCAACCAAGGTACATGCTCTTGACCGGAATCAAACCTGGGACCCTTCAGTCTGCAGGCCAACGCTCTATCCACTGAGCCAAACCGGTCAGGGCTGTGTTAGGCCTTTTTTCCTGGACTAAAACGTCATCTCCACAAGGGCCACAAGCATCTTTTCTCTTCTTTTAATCCCCATGGAATTTTATCAAACGGGATCATTCAGTAAATGTTTTTCAACTGAGCCGAATGTTATGTCAAACAGAATCAGGTAGTATACTGCCCCGACAGGCTGGAGTTATCAAGAGCAGATTAATGAGGGCTGTAAAGTCCAGGTGGCTGTTCATCAGCAGAGAACTCCAGGAGGGTGGGGCTGGAGGGGGGAGCAGGCCTGGAAACAAGTGCCGGAGCCAGAGGGATCTTTTCTTTTTGGGCACAAGGTGGCAGGCTATGCCCATGTCAGTCCCCACATATAAGGCAGCTTTGTGAGGCTGAAATTTTCTGTCCTATTTTGGAAATGCATGTTTCTTTAAAAAAGAAAAAAGAAAAAAAAAAAAGCGAAGCTCGTGCAGCGTCATGGCTGAAACCTGGGTGTAGCTGAAGCACAGACCCGAGCAGGCCGGCCGCTGCGCTTCCAGGTCTCAGCGCCTTCCAGGTTGGACTCCTGCCCGAGCCCCACAGTAACGCACTGCAGATTTTGAAACGTTGAATTTCCCTTAAAAGGATGAAGAAAATGTGAATAAATGTGCATGAACGCTCAAGCTGGAAGAGAGGAAATACTATCTGGCCAGAGGGTTGAAACGCAGTTTCTCCACTAGATAGCAGAGGAGGACAGACAGCCTGCGGAAGGTTCTGCCTATAAACCCAAAGAAAACATTCGTTTTCTCTAGAAGCTCATTTTCCCCCCTTTAAAACGCCAAGTGTTTTTCATGTGTTCAGACCATTCACATGATCAGTCTGATATAATCTGGGATATAAGTAGCAGCTTTACTTCAATTAATGTGTATGCAATTTCAGTTTGGATACAGTTTCCTTCACTTCATTCATCGCCTCTAGTTGTGTGTGTGTGTGTGTGTGTGTGTGTGTGTGTGTGTTTGTACGTGCACCAAATAGTCTTTTATTCAAAAAAAAATGCTAGGAATAGTTTATTCTGGTATTCTGCCTAAGTTATTGGGTGATATGTTAAGTCTTTCCATTAATACTGATTTCTGTTATACTTGGAAGATGGAGAATAAATTAGGGGGAAAAGATAATCCTTGTTTTCAGGTTCCCTTATCATTTTGTTCAGGTTCTTTTTCTCTTTGTGTGGAAGTGAGGTAGAAATGAGAACATGGTGATTTGTTTCTATGCCGGAAGCCGGTCTTGCTGCTTGACACAGTCACTGCAGGGAAGCAACATCTGCACAGCATATGTTTCAAGGGACCTGGCATACTGTTCTTAATATGTTTGCTCCCCCTCTTAGCGCTATGTGTTTTAACCAAGGTCACCTCTCCAAGAAAGGTTGTTTCCCCAGGTGGGGATGTTGGGGATTGATGGGACTAGAGTTGGGGATTGACGGGACTGGGGAGGGGAATGAATCAGTAAAACCCCCTAGTGTTACAGAAATACCATGTACTACTTATGAAGAACTTGGACTAAGACTGTTGGCTATAAATTTGGGACTTGTTGGGCCCACATCCCCAG